TTTCTGCTACCTGGAGCTCAATTTCAAGGTACTTTTCAATGCAAAACCAGTCAAAATCCTCTAAATTTTCTGTAATAGTCTTCCATTCTAAAAAATGAGACCAGGAAATCTAGAATACAACAATAATACCATACGAAAATACAGTGCAAGTCACTGTTTTAATAAAAAAACACGGTCAAAGTTTGTTTTCTCTCATTACGCACTGTGTGTTGCAGGATTTTTTTTTTTATAGTATGCACACTGACCACATAGACCCATCCTTTCATATGTAGGCCTACCAGCTTTCTCTCACTAGATTTGAGGGTGCTAGAATTTAGGCATACTAGTATGTCAAAAACCCTGGGGCGTAAGCCGTACTAGTACGGCCGAAAACCTGAAAGGGTTAAATGTTTGTTACTTTTAATTTTATTTCTTACTTTATTTTCCTACAACTACTTATTAATCACAAAAACATGAAGCTCCTGGTTAGAATCCATGTTATATAAATGCCTTTGATGCAATAAGAACACAGTAAACAGGTAATATCACAATATGCAAAAATAACCAGTGAAAAAGTAATAAAAATTTATGTGCTTTAATGATTTCACATTATCTAGGAATGCTTTTGAGTGCCTTCATATTTTTTTGACAGATTTTCCAAATTCTGGTTGTCTGACCCTACTGGTAAGCAATTCTACACATTTCAGGTGCATGTGTAACATACCTGTCTAAATTTACCATCCATGCCAGCTCTCTCGATCTTAGCTTGTTGCCCCCAGTCAGTCCAGAACATCCAGCCCTCAGACGGGTAGACAGCAAGGGCACGAGGTTCATCTAGTCTGTGTCGGAAGAGCGTTTTCCTCATGTCTCCATTGAAATCTGCAACCTGCCAAAATACTGAATGTCCATAACTTCAGTAAAATAATCATTCTATTTTTACACTGGTAATATACACACACATCCAGCAGACATGTGTGAGTATGTTAGAGAGGAGAGGAGGCAAATGGTTGTTAGGACTATGACCTGTTGAAGTGCAAGCAAGGTAACATTTTGTGAAGGGATTCAGGGAAACCGGTTAGCTGGAGGTGGGAAATACAGTACAGTACAGTGCAAACTGTAAATATTCTCCACCTGAGGTGGAGAATATTCACAGTTTGGAGGGATATCTGAACTGTAGTACTGAATGCCTCATAAAACAGTGATAAAGTGAATGATGGTGAAATTGTTTCTTCTTTTTCAGGTCACTCACCTCAGTGGAAGTTGGCTGGTGCATAAAAATAAAAATAATATAAATAATAAAAACTTTCAAAAGATAAAACAAAACCAATGATTCTTCTCCAATACAAACTAGGTCCCTTTCTTACTTTCATTACACCCAACAACTAGCTTAAGAAATATTCTTCTTCTTTGTACTTAATGAAACATAGTAAAAAACGTAACTTATAGCACTTTAAAATGTAGACTTGACAAAAGAAGTTTCATTTTATAACACACAAGTCATCTTCATCAAGGTAGGGTGGCCCAAAGCACAAGGAAACACTTTCACCATCACTCATTCAACAGCTCTTGCCAGGAGTGTGCAGATATCACAATTTCCAATAACCTTTTAACCTGCAATCTTACATCATGTTTGATCATGCAGAAAGAATGAACCATGAAAACTTCCTGAGGAAGGAGTGTGTGAGGGTATTAAGAGACGTAGGCTGGGATATCAAACTAATATACATTAATGTGGTACATTGTAATGAGTGGAGGAGAGGTGTCAACAAGATCTGATGAGGTATTGGAGTGTGAGGTAACATCTGTAAGAGATTCGGGGAACTTGATAACTGAACTTGAGTACCAGAGGTTGGGAAATACCGAGCCCACATTTTGAGAGGAGTTGGAATGATGTGGTTCAGTGAATTACCACTAGTGATTTTTTTTTTTTTTTTTTCATCCAGCATTTAAGGGAAATAACCAACAGGAAAAAGGAAACTAGCTGATAGGTCAAATGAATGCCCTAAACTAACTACAAACTCTTCAATACTATGAAACAATATACAGCACAGTAATAAACATCTCAAAACTGCTACCACAATATTGCCAAATTACACTGAAGGATAAGGCTTCCATCCCTTATTGATCTCTCTCCGAAAGAGTCGCTTCTTTTTTCTTTTTAACATGCTGGCCATCCCTCACTGAAGCAGGAGACCCAAAACTTTGCTGATAGGGACTAACCCATTTTTACATTGGCTCTTCTCTTGTACTCCTTCACCACTCTTTATCCTCCCTTTTTATCTCTACTCTGCTTTCTGTATTATTCTTAGACTGCAAACATTTCATGCATGCTAATTTTTTCTCCCTTACAACCCTCTTTACCTCATCAATCCCCCAATCATCCCTCTTCCCACTAGCAACCACACTCCTGTACTCACAAACTTTTGCTGGACTTCAGAGCATTCTTCAATTTATCCTGTACCTCCCTGACCACAACCTCATTTCCTGCACTTTCTCCAGTCAACCTTTTGCCCAATACAGATGCTCCTTGACTTACAATGAGGTTATATTCCGATTTAACCCCCAAGTCAAATATGACGTGCTATATAAATAAGTAAATAAATAAACTAATGTCAATGAATAAGTAAATAAATGCTGAAAAGTAAATAAATGAATACAAGTCATGGACTTCCCTGCCTTCATCATAGGAAATTATCTAAAGTTTCATCACCAAAGTAATTCCTTTTGCACCATTGTAAAGTCGAAATATCTCAAGTCGAACCATCCAAGTACAAGACGCACCTGCAGTTGCTTACATCGTTCCAATAATATCTTCCTTAATGCTTTTACTTTCACACCCTCTTACCCAGAGCTCCCAGTCTTCTTGTACTCCACGTACCCTTTACTCTTATAATACATATTACATAACAGCTTCACCACAGTACTGAAATGAAAATTTTACATACCTCTATTGTATCTGTGTCCGTGTTAGTCCAGTAGATGTGATTATACAACCAGTCGACAGCCAAACCATTATTTGTAGTCACATCATCAGAAATCACCACCACCTTTTTACTCCCTTTATCTATGGGGGCTCTGAATATAAAACAGATTGCTAATTTTTCTTAATAAAATATGTATTGCTATTTTCACATTACAATTAGTAGGAAAACAAGAGGAAAAAAAGGAAAAACTGTCAGTGAAAAGCCCAATGAAGTAAAATTCATTTGACTGGAAAACACCCCATCTTTCAATCAACAGTTGTAATATAAATGTTTTACTAATGTCTGAAGTCTGTTAAGTGGCATTTGATGCAACTTCTCCATATACAAGATTCAGAGTAAAAATATTCATTTTTTTTAATTATTAAATATAAATTTTTTCAAAAAAATTATCATTGAAGTGCAAGTATTTTTTGCTGCTTGTGTTTGAGTCATAAATTTATTATGAAATAGAGTACATATATAATATATAATTTCTTTGAGAACTACACTTACTTGTATATAAAATTTTTCCCGTATATCTGTCCAGAAGATCATTCCAGTTTTAAAACAAAATCTAACGTGTAGCACCTTGTGTCTCATTAACAATTGCTGTAATCTGGTCAGGAATAAAAAACTGTAGTTATTCAACTATAAGGACAAAAAAAATAATGTATACTTATCACATACATGTTGCATGTAACTCTAGAAGACATCTGATAATAAACCCGTGTCATTACAACAAACAGAATTTTCCAAATATACTCCACACACCTCAAAAAGATCTACTTTTTTATTACCACGCCCATTCTATGGTTTCAATTGTCTTTCACTAATCTGCTGACATGTCCATCTCTATATTCCCTCCCTCCAATATATCGAATTGCTCATGGTCTAACCGTTTTGTTACTTACTGCCTTGCTCTTTGGCACATTTTTAATTTCTTTTACATATATCCTCCCAATTCATCCACCACCTTTGCAACTTCTCTTCCAATCTCCAAAAGTGTCATTGGCATGGAGCAAATATGATACTCTCATGATGTATTAAATTCATTATTTTTTAAAACCTGAACCTCTCCCCTACACCCTAATATTGTATATATTATTTATTTTTTCCCCAGTAAAAGTAGGCCTTAGACAAAGATGTGTGATGTCACCGTGGTTGTTTAATAATTTATAGATGGGGTTGTAAGGAAGTAAATGCGAGGGTCTTTGGCAAGAGGCGTGGAGTTAAAAGATAAAGAATCACACATAATGGGAGTTCTCACAGTTGCTCTTTGTGATGACACTGTGCTTTTGGGAGATTTTGAAGAAAAGTTGCAGAGATTGGTGGATGAATTTGGTAGGGTATGCAAAAAGAAGAAAAAATTTAAAAGTGAATACAGGGAAAGAGTAAGGTTATGAGGATAACAAAAAGATTAGGTGAAAGATTGGATATCAGATTGGAGGGAGAGAGTATGGAGGAGGTGAATGTATTCAGTATTTGGGAGTGGACGTGTCAGCGGATGGGTCTTGAAAGATGAGGTGAATCATAGAACTGAT